ATTTTTTTTTCGAGTTAAGGGAAAGACAATATGATTAACACCCCCCCACCCCTCTATATATAATACCGAAGAGAGTATATTCTATATTCTTTTTTTTGTTCCATGATAAAATAATATTTTTAAATTAATTATTATATATTAAGATTAAATCAATCTTTTCTGAAAAACAAATAATACATACTAAAATTATAATATTTATAAAATATTATCTTTTCCAATAAAAATTCAAATAACTTATGATATTTAAATTGATATCACATATTTACTCACATGACACACTCCGCTAACCAGTATTATTTTTTTTTATAACAATTTTTCTTACAAATACAACAATCTATAAAATAAACAAACTTAAATCATCTATCCACCATAAAAGCTATTAAATCAATCTTGACCAGTAACTTAGTTAAGTTTGAAATAGGATTAAGTGAGTTGATTTAAATTAATTTTTAATTGAATTACTGATCAATTTTTGAGTTACTTGAGTTTCACCAATTAATTCTCACCTGTTTTTATTTTTTTTTAAAAAAAATCAGATGAACTCCTTGGTATGTTTAGCCTAAAAAAATAGGGATAGTTGATTTATTTCAAAACCTTTTTTCTCTCTCATTTATTATTTTTTTATCCCTTCAAATAAATAACCCCCTTGCCTACCTCTGTCCACATTTCCTTTTCCTTCCCAACAAGAGCATAAAAAATCAATCAACTCTTCTCTCCTAGACTGTCTCTCTCTTCCCTTTCCTCCATGGCACCCTCAAGACTCCTCCTTTCCCTCTCAATCCTCCTTTGCTTCCTCTCCTTCTCTTCCTCAGCAAGACCCTGCAAAACCCTTTTCATCTCCTCTTATTCTTTCTCCTACAAACCTCTTAACCCTTACCCTAACGACCCTAACCCTAACAACCCATCTTCTGGGTTCTTGATCGTAACCGAGATCCAAGAAGCCTCAATCTCCGCCTCCTCCCTGGGACTCATCAAGCGCAGATTCATCCCGGTCGTTTCCAGAAATAATTATGAAAATACCAACAAGGAAGCCACTCGCCGCGATGAGGTGGGGTCGGTTTGGGATGGATTTGGGAGCTATGACTTGAGCTCGTTGCGCGATCGTACTAAGGATATTCTTAGCGTGGTTGTTGCTTTGCTTTTTGGTGTCGGTTGTGGTGCGCTTACAGCAGCTACAATGTATCTGGTTTGGTCTTTGTTTTCTCCATCGCAGCCGCGTTATGATGATTATTTTGATGGCGATTTTAGTGATGACGAGGAGGAGGATTTGAAGAAAATTGGGTATGTCAAGATTCCTGAGACAGAGCAAGTTAAAGGCGGTTCGGTATGAGGGAGGTTGGTGATTTCTTGATTTGGCTCCGCGTATATAGTAATCAAGAAAGTAGTAAATTCGGTGTTTATCAAGTGTTTAATTTTATTTATGATTATGTTATTGTTGTGGATTATTGTTAGTGAAGAACAGATGATGATTGTGATGTCATTAATGTGTGTGTTGCTGTTATTGCCGAAAGGCTGTGACTTTTATTGTTATATAACACCAGTTGACTTTCGGGCGTTAACTCTGTGTTTTCTGTTGATGATTTGATGGAATGTGGCTTGGTTTTTAGGCTTGTAGAGGGGAATTTGATGAATTTTAGGCTCCTGCTGACATTGCTGTTTTGTATGATTTCTTCGGCTAATGTGTTTGCGCTAGCTGTTTAGTTTTTAGCTTTCATGTTAATATGGAAATGGAATTGATAGGATTAGTTACTAACAGAATACAAGAAAACTTAATCTAGTAAACTGCTTCGTTGAGCATTGCAGGGTGGTGAAGTAAGCAATGTAGCTTTTGATCACCGCAAGGTCCCTGTACTGCTATTCCTGCTGAAGCTTTATGTAGTCAATGGCTGAACCTTTAGATTTTTCATGTCCACTATCATATGCTTTCATCATCTGAAAGCTTAAAGATGGAAAATTATTTTAGGTGTTACTGGTGGAGCTGGTCCCTTCTCGTTAGAGACACTACTGAAAAGTATGTAACAGAGGAGTCCTGAGAGCTGCAGGTTGCTGCATATTCCTGTGTTAATTCAAAGATGTTTTGTGGACGGTGTTTTGGTGCTTCATTTTCTTAGTTGACTTGCGTTTGGCTATGCCACTTTTCCATTGCACTCATTGATTTGGTTAAAGGTGCTGGATCAATCTAAGAGAGCCTAGAAATTAGAGCTGCTATAGAAAGTCTAGTCCTTGAAAAGCATCATGGTTATGACACAAGTTTGAAATCAAAGCTGCATTCTTTGAATGTCACTGAAATCCTGTAGATGTTGTTGTTTTGAATTGTGGAGCTGAGCAACTTAGCTAAGGAGTTGGCATGTCTTATAAAGAGATTAAAGCTTTTGCCTAGTGGAAACATTATTATTTCTGTGGTTGAGAGATGGCCATCTCCTTTTGCTATCATTTGCAGCTATATGATCTGTTTATCTTCACACCATCTCCATAGTACAGTACCAATGCTCAATGGTACAGCCTGGAAATGGAAATTTTAAATAATCTGGATCACGTAAACTTAGCCCCCCATCTGGCAATGCCCTCTATTACCAGTCAGATGTATATTGCAGCTTCCCAAGTTGATGCGTTATATCAGGAGCATTAGTCTCACGGTTCTTTGCACTCAATGAAAAGCTTTTTAACACTTCCATAGCTTAGCAGGCTTATGTGGTGGCTTCGAGGCTTGAATGAGTAGAGTTCATATTTTGTCCATCGTCTTTCAAGTTAATTATTTTGTATTAGAACTCAACGAAGATCTTAGGATTTTGCAGTGTCCCCTCGCTTTCTCCTCTTTTAACCTTTTGATTTGCCTTGGTTTAATAGATGTTACTGGGCTCCACCTATTTAGTAAATGGCCTGGATACATATGGGCTCTACCTATTTAGTAAATGGCCTGGATACATAGCGGATTTCAATTACAAGATGTCCACTGCCACGAAATAGAGAACGGATAAAGACTAGGGTTATACAGCTTTAATATTACATATCCAAGTGCTAGAGAAATTTAAAGAAAATTTTAGTATTTTATAAAATTTAAATATGAATAAAATTAACTAGATGTTTTTATTTATACTATTTATAGACTTAAAATCCTCTATAAAAATGATTTTTAATTAAAACTAAAATATTCATAAAAGGATTCTTAATTAAAACTTAACTATCTAATATAATCTATTTAGCATTATAATTTTTAAATAATAAGATATTATTTAAATTAAAAGTCCAAAGTGAAGTAGAAAAAAGAATATAAATATGATGTTAAATAATAAAATACTATTTAAATTAAAAATCCTTAGCTAAATAGAAAAACAAATCTAAATACAACAAGGTAATTAAAGACAATTTGACATAATAACTTTCAAGTCTTATTTGAAGTCCTTCATGATCTTTGATTGTCATGAGATCTTAACCAAGTGGAAAACAGGTTTTTCAAAATCTTTTATAAAAATTTGCTTGATTTCACAATTAAATTAAAAGTTATACTTGATTTATCAAATTATATTTTGAATTCAAACATTTTAAAACCTATAAATTTTAACCATTAATAAAATAATATAATAATCATTATTATATCAATATATCAAGAATATTGAAGAAATTTCCTCACACCAATTTCTTTTATTTTTGAAAAACTTGTCATCAAGTTTGTTTTGTGTAGAATTGAACTCTTCCACTCTAAAACAACAAATATTTCAAATATAGCATTATAGCTAATATGTTCATGAAGTACCATGTCTTTGACATGTAAACTTCAAAATTTAATTTAGTTCCTTTTCATAAACATGGCATTTTCAGTCATTAAAAAATGTCACATACGTAGCCTTAATAGCATGAGTGTCTCTCATATACTGGTGAATACTTTGCTTAAACTCACCACTTTTAGTTTTGTAGTTATATTTTATGTTTATTAAATTATTAAATTGCTCTTTATCCAACTCAATTATATATATAAAAAATTAATATGAAAAGAAAAAAGTGTCATTATATGCCAACTTTAAAATTTATGCTACAAAAAATATTTTAGTTGTTTCATTATGCTTTTAAAATGCGAAAGGATCTAATTATCTTATCTGATAATGATTATTAGACTTTATGGAAAGACAATATCATCCCTAATAGATAATTAAATGTTTTTTTTTTTTATAAAAAGGGTAAAATCACCATTAAACTTTCCAGTGAACAATGATTATAATTCTAGGTGAACAAATGATTATAAATCTAGGTGAACAATCTTTCTCAAAAATCATTGTTAACAATAGATGCCAGTAAATGCTATTCAAATTATTTAACATGATATGTGATTATAATCTAATCTAGTAGTTAACTCTGTTTAAACTTTGTTAATACTTTGGATGGATTAATTTATAAGTTGGTGGATTCATCTAAGTTATAATTTTTTTATATATAAAATTTTAAATTAATATTGTTTTAATAAAAAAAACTAATTTAAAGTAAAACATAGTTCGAGCTAAACTCTAAATGACAGGTTATTGAATTCAGTTGTTGGGTCGAGTCGAACCGAGTTTTATAAAGGTGTTGTTAACTCATAATGAATTTCTACTTGCCATAACTCAATTTTTGAATAATAATAATAATAATAAATAAATAAATCAAAACAATATAAATTGAAAGTTTAGGGACTTAATTAAACTTTGGATTAGTTTAATTAGTGAAATCAAGAGCTTAATTAAAGAATTGGTAAGTTTGGGATTTAATTGAACTTGAAATTAGTTTAATTAATGAAATCAGGGGCTTATTTGAAAAAATATGAAAGTTTTGGGCTGGTTTGGGGTAAATTGCAAGACATTAAAGCCCAAGGGCCATTTTGTAAATGGATTTAAAATACAGGGGTCTAATTACAATTTATCCAGGGGCTTAATTACAAAATTTCAAAACTTCATTCAATGACGAAATCGAAAATAGTCATTGAATTGTGAAAATGACGCTGTTTCAAAGAAGACTATTCATCTTCTTCATTTCACCAAACCATGGGAAAGAAACGCCCCTGCCAGCTGCCCACGATGTAGCTCCAGCATTAACAACGGTCTGTCGCCTCATTATCTGGAGGCGACCACATGGCATTCTCTGGATTTATAAAAGCCTGAGAAGGGCCATAAACGAAGGAGGGAGGAAAACAAAAAATACCAGAGAGAACACGGACGGGAAAGCCGGTAGAGAGAGAAGAAGAAAAAAAACTACACAGGGAGACACACAGGGACAGGGGACGAACGAACAGAAGAGAGAAACAAAGGGTGAGGCCGTTGTACTTCGTCTTCAGTAGCAGCGAGCTCCATCTTCAGCAGTCACTGCACCAGAAACAGGGCATTCAAGGAGGAAGAACACAGAGTCACGAGCAAAATACAGAGAGAGCAACCAAGAACACAGGAAAAACACCGAACAAAAGAAAAAGAACAAGAAGCACAGGAAACAGAGCGAAAGACAGAAGAAAAAAAGAGAGAGACAGACCTAGAGAGAAACAGAAAGAATAGGGGAGACGAGACAGGCAGAAGAAAAACAAAAACACAGAAATCAACAAACAGGGAGAAGGAAGAACAGAGAAAGAACTGAAGAGGGGAGTAGCATCGACCCGGCAGCACACCATCGCCAGCTTCTTCCCCAGCAAACCAGGTAAGTCGCAAACCAGGTCGCTTCTCATCCCCTGCGTGACAATCACACTGTTCACTTTGAAATGTATAATTACCTTCCTCCTGTAGCTAGAAATCCAATCCCCTTTATTTTCCAATATAATTACCTTCCTAGGCATGAAAAAAAAGGAAAACATAATTCCATCTTTTGAAATCTGAGCTGGAGTGACATGGGCTTAAAAATCTAATTACAAGTAGAAGGGCCTAGAATCCTATATAGATCCCAAGCCTAAAGAAGAGCCCAATTTAAATAGATCCCTCAAACATCATATATTAATATATATACAAGAGTTAAGTCATGGCTACTGGAAACTTATATAATCGTTAACTTCAGAATCCGTAAAATTAACACATTAATAAAATATATATATATAGTCCAATTCAAATAGATCCCTCAAACATCATATATCAATATATATATACAATATATATATATACAAGAGTTAAGTCATGGTTATTGGAGGTTTATATAATCATTAATTTTAGAGCTTATAAAATTAATTATAATATACATAAACTGACCCAAACATCCATATTAATAATATATATATATATATATATACACACACACACAAGAGCTAAGCCAATAACAGTGACAATAAGCGTGGAGGGGACTCCAAACTCCAAAAGGTGATAGTGTAACTGGGATTAGCAGTGATAATAAGCATGGAGGGGACTCCAAACTCCAAAAGGTGATAGTGTAACTGGGATGGGCACGAAGAGCCTGTTCACACATACATGTTATAAAAAAAATATTTACAAAGATTCTAACATGAATTGTAATTAAATAATTTTTGTTAAGAGTTATCAAAAAATTTAAAAGAAGACTAATTATAATTAATGATTGATAGATAGACAAATCGAAGAAGAAAAACTTTAATAATATATTATTTTAAAAAAATTATTTTTTTAAAAAATATTCGATATATTAAAGGACTTGAAGATTACTGTGTTGTTGTATAAATTATTTAGAAAAGTTGTTTTATTTATTAGGCTGAATATCATATATATATATATATATATATAAATACTGATAATACTTCTAATTATGTTAATACTAACAAGTTGTTGGTGAAAAAATTTCTTTTAATATTTTATTTTTTTTTGTTGCTCATTATATTAATTTCATATTCTAAAATGTTAGTAAGTTACGATCAATTTGTTTTGTTGTTGATGATGGTTGTAGGATTACAAAATATATTTATAATTATTTATATACATGGAGTCAATGAAAACAAATACTTCGACCAGCTCTTCCTTCCATACTAATTTCATTACTTTACAAACCATTTTAGTACCCCCCCGGCAGCGCTGTTGTTAAATCAAAGGAAGAGAATCAGGGCATCAACTTACCGGTAGGTACATTCGAAGCAACATTTGAGAGAACAAGTATTACAATGGCCAGCACAGCAATCCCACTAGCATGATCGATCCGTGCATGAGGCTCCATCAAGTTCCAGAAACTGCTAGGAATTCCTGTTCTATTGAAGCCATCGACCGTGATAAACATTCCACAAAAGAGTACCAGAACAGAATATGAAACCTGATCCAAGCAACGACGGATAAGTAGATTTTTACTCAATCGAATACTGCATGGAAGTATTACAGTTGATGAAAAGATATTTAGGAAAGCAAATAGAATTTTTGTGAAAGACCTGTTGATTTACCTTCTCTAGGCAAGGCCCTGCATCTTTGAAATCAAGAATCATAAAAATGAGGGCTGCTGTGAGTGTTGTCCAAGACATGTTCAAACCCAATAGAAAAGCAACCAGCATTCCAACAGTACCAAGGTAAATACACAACTTCCTTGACAATCTTTCCCATCTATTCATCAGGCCTTTACTTTCTTCAGTGGACTGTTGCGGCCCGGACTCTGAATCTTCCTGAACAATCAATTCATCCAATGCATCTTCTTCTTCCCTAACATCAGATAACAACCTCCAAAACATGCATATAAGAATTAAAGCATTCACAAAGACACCCACAAGCACTGCGGGAAGAAGTCCCAATACGAATTCCCCAAAAGAGATGCCACTTTGAATAGCAATTATCAAGTTTTGAGGGTTGCCGATTGGAGTTGCAGAGGATCCAATATTCGAACTTGAAGCCAACCCAAGCAAGAAAGGTTCGGGTCGAATATTGTTTTGTCTAGCAATCTTTAATATGAACTCAGTGAGAAAGACACATGCGGTGTCATTAGTGAACAGAGCGCTTGAAATGGCAGAAACAACGCAGATCTGGCAGAGCATGTCCTTCGCACCCCAACTCTTCCATGAGAACAAGACTCCCAAGTCCTTGAACATGTCTGCTCTTTCAAGATAGATGCTTACAACCATGGTTCCAAAGAGAAGGCCCAGTACAGGGAGGTTGATGGCAGAATATGCTTGCTCAGGGGTGATGACTTCGAAGATAACCATAAGCATTGCCCCGAGGATGGAACCTGCTGTCCTTCCAATGGGTAAGAAAGGAACTGCTGGGAAAACTGCCAAAATCCAAAAGACAGCGAAGGCAACTGAACCTAAGACAACCTTCTTAATCGGACCCAGAGCCATTTCTGTAACTTACAAGATTAAGCTTGTTTGTGAGCTACCACTTGGCAGACCTCCACCTTTGCAACTTCAGATAAATTACTGGCTCTGAAAGAAGAAGATATCACCCTGTAGCTCAACCAGTATTTGCAACCAACTGAGAAAAGAGTAAAACTACAAATTTATTAAGAGCTAGTGAGATGGAAGTTATTAAAAGTTTTTTTGAAAATTCCGAAGAGGATTGTGGAACCAGAAAGATAAATGAGTTCATATGAATATTTCCATGATACGTTTAAAAGACGCATCAGAATGAGAGGCTAAGAAATGTATTGAAGATGCTTGATATTTTCTCTTCTGAAGCAGTCAAAGCAGCCGAAGACATTTCAAAGCAAGCAAACAATTTCCAACATTCCATGCTGAAAATCTAGTAGTTTCTGAGCAAAAGGGAAATGCGTGGTCCTAGAGCACACATCTTTTTGCTAGTTGATATGGAATTTGGATCATGCGCAACCAGAGGGAAATATGCTACTGAGACATCATATTACAACGTAAGAAGTTTAAGACTTGTGTGTGCAGGTGAACCTACGGGGTGGGACTGTTTTCAGATTTTTAAACACTGTATCTGGAAATTAATAGCATGCAAGACAGAAGTGAAGTTGACATATTCTCCAGCTAAGAAATACTGCCTTAAGAGACTCTACATACCTGATCCTTGCATGAACGCACACTCTTGATCCTCGTTACATCACCAACACGAATACATGGCTGTAGGAAAATAGAGTCACCATATGAGCTTGGCTTGTTAAGCTTCCAACTTGTCGACAGGGAGTCTTAAAGCTGCTGCAGGTTCCCACTGAGCAATCTCTTTGGAGCGATTATGTAAGCTCACAGTTACTCTGTCAACCTAATTGAACACTGGAGTCCTGTCTTGCTCCAAAGAAACTCAAACTGGAACAAAGTGAGATAAGCAAGCAAATTGAATCCTTGGATAAAAGATAGTGAGAGGTTAGGGATTTGCTCTCTACACTTCCAATGCCGGTAAGCCCAGTGCGGATTTATTTACAGGGAATTAAAGACAAGAGAGTAAATAAATTTATGCCATAAGAGGAAGAGTATAAAAGGAGAAGACGCCAATAAGAAACACATACAGTTACTAAGGCTAATGAGGTAATGTATATCATTGCTTTTTAAATTGTATTTTACTTATAAATGTATTAAAATATTTTTTATATATTTTTTAAAATTTAGTTGTGATATTACAACATCAAAACAATTAAAAAAAACACATAAAATAAATTAATTTAAAATAAAAAAAATAAAAAACCTTTAAAAATACAATTAAATTACAAAAACAATATCTTTTGTTTTAATGTCGTGACTGCGTTTTGCTTCGTGCACATTCTTCTGCACGTATTATCATTTGTCTTTAAATGATTCGTTTACTTTGTTTTTAATTCCAACACAACTAACATTGAACCAACATGTTTGAAGCAATGATCTATGTTTTAATTTGTGTTAAAAAAAGTATACTTTACTTTCACATTCTTCTTTGAAATGTTTTTTTTTTTTTTATAATTTGTGATGGTAACTAGTTTATTTGTTTTTCTCTTGAATAAAAAACCCCACATCTATATTTTTTTAACCATGTTTCAATGAATGATACTCGAAAGAGAATGCATGTTTAAATTGAGCAAGAAATATTTTAAAACATGGTTAATTAGTATTTTAAAATAATAAATATAGAGATGACAAATATATGTTTAGATAAAGAAACGAAAATAAAGAAATAAAATAAATATTTTCATAGAACTGTTTTGAAGTGAATTTTTATCCCTTTTAAATTAAAAAAAACAAAGAAACATGGTTTTTTTGTCCGTGTTATCTTTCTCTTTTATATCTTGGAGACAATTACCAAACATTCATTATCTTAAACTTGCTCCCTTGAACAAGATTTCTCCCCCCACCCCCAACCAAACCCTCTCCCCTCCAACAACAAACAGAGGTACCAGATGGAGACCTCAATTGTCTACCATGAAGTGATATTAACTGGAAATTAATATTTCCATGAATACGTTTACAAAGACGCGTCAGAATGAGAGGCTAAGAAATGGATTGAAGAATCTGGATATTTTCTCTTCTGAAGCAGTCAAAGCAACTGAAGACATTTCAAAGCAAGCAAGAAATGAAAAGCTTCTGATGTAAAAGCAAGAAATATATATCTTTACCAGTCAGATGTATATTGCAGCTTCTGATGCATTATATCAAGAGCATTACACTTACGGTTCTTTGCACTCAATGAAAAGCTTTTTAACACTTTCACAGCTTAGCAGGCTCATGTGGTGGCTTCGAGGTTTGAATGAGTAGAGTTCATATTTTCTCCATCTTCTTTTAAGTTTATTATCTTGTCTCAGAACTCAATGAAGATCTTAGGAATTTGCAGTGTCCTCTCGCTTTCTCCCCTTTTAACCTTTTGTTTTGATGTGTTTGAATAGATGTTAATAGCAAGATGTTCACTTACTTGGCTCTACCTATTTAGTAAATCGCCTGGATACATAGCGGATTTCAATTACGTATCCAACTGGTGGTAGAGAAATTTAGAGACTACTTATAGATATTTCTATTTTTACTACTTACAGATTTAGAATTCTTTATTTTAAAAAAAGGATTTCTAATTAAAATTACAATCCTTAATGAAAGGATTCCTAATTAAAACTTAACTATCTAATATAATCTATTTGGCATTAAGATTCTTAAATAATACTATTTAAATTAAAATCCAAAACTAAATATAAAAAAGAATCCAAATACAATTCTAAATAATAAAATATTATTTACATTAAAATTCCAAAGCATAATTAAAAAAAAAAGAATCTAAATACAATTTTAAATCATAAATTACTATTTAAATTAAAAACCTAAGCGAAATAGAAAAAAATCTAAATACAACAAGGTAATTAAAAACAATTTGGCACAATAACTTCTAAGCCTTATTTGAAGGCCTTCATGATCTTTGATTGTCATAAAATTTTAAACTATAAAAACTAGGATTTCCAGAATTTTTTTATTAAAATTTTAGCTCGATCCAACAATTGAATTAAAAATTATACTTGATTTATCAAACTATATCTTGAACTCTTCTTAAACTCTTTAAAATCTATAAATCTTAACCACTAATGAAATAATGTAATAAACATTATTATGTCAAGAATAATTAACACATTAGTTCCTTTTACTTCTAAAAAACTTTTCCACGAGTTATCTATTAAAAACGGAAATCTTCCATTTTAAAGGAACAAAAATATAACATTGTAACTAATATATTTACGAAGTGCTATGTCTTTGACTTGTGAACTCCCAAATTTAATTTATGATGTGTGCATACTAAAACATAATCTATATTAATATTATAATTTATATTTCTATGAAGTTCACTTATAGTGCCTTCCTACATTTTTTTGCTTTAAACTTGAGTTCATCCATGATCTTCGATGCTTTAACCATTGTATGTAAAGAAACTTCAAAATAATTTTTTATAATATATATCTTTAGAACAATCATTAGAAATTACCATATACTCCATGTTCTTTTTTACAAGATCTTCAGAATCACTACAAGATACTAATTTAGGAGCCTTCTTGATTTCTCTTTACCATTAATTGATGAAACATTAACAAGTAGAATAATATTTGTAGCAGTACTATTGGTGTCATTGTTGTGATGTTAAAACCATATACTTTGAAAAGACGACACATTTTCTATAATTTTCTTACTTGCTATTTTGAAAGGTTAAACAAAAAGCAAATAATAGTAATCTAATTGCTTATTTAATCAATATAAAATCTTTTTATAATCATCTTCTATAAACTCCAAAATTAATGATTGTCTTAAATCTTGCCAAGCTAGAATTAAAGACATACCAATACGAGTTTTAAAGTTTAGAAATTCAAACTACCATTCTCTAGCACCATAATAAAGTTTGTGTGCGACAAGTCCTATCTTTTAATGATATGTAATCTTTTTGGAAAAAGAAGTAAACTTCTAATTCTGTTAACCATTTAATAAATCTTTTCTTTAAATATATCCTATCATAGAATGTAATCCTATTGAATTCAGGAATAGATATAGGGTTTAGCTTGTCTTGAGGTAAATTTTTAGACAAGTTCCTCTCTTCTTCATGATCTTTGTTTGCAAAACCCATTAGCTGAGCTAAATCTGTTATGGTTTGCTCCAACCAATCAAACCTTTATTCCCAACAATCTAATTTATGCTCTTGAGCCCATATAGTGTATTAGAGGGCCTCCACTCTATCAATGGTAATTGGTTCAAGTGGTTTGATGCCTATTCCTTTTAAGCAAGGTCTCGAGTTTGAGCCTTGTGAAAGAAGTACACCATCACTAGGAGAGCTTTATCCTTTAGTGGGTCAACCTGGCTTGACCAGATTAGTTGGGGTCTAGTGGACTTCTAGATACTAGGGTCTAGATAAAAAAAAAAGAAAAAAAAGAAAAGAGGGCCTCCACTCCTGCATCGTAAAGTGGGTTGCTACCATCTCTATCCATAAAAAAGACCAACCTGTTATAATATGTATTGACGAGGTGTATAACATTGACAAAAGCTAAAGTCTTTAAGCCCTAAGATTACAAGCTTAAGCTATAGAGAAATTTAGAAAAAACTTGCTACAGAGAAATTTAGAAAAAACTTTATGGTATTTTATAAATTTTGAATAATAGTCTGAATGTGAAAAAAATAAATTAGACATCTCTATTTATACTAGTTATAAACCTAGAATCATTTATACGAAATGATTACTAATTAAAACTTCTAACTAATAGAATTCATATAACATTAGGATTTCTAAATAATAAAATATTATTTATGTAACGGTCTCAATTCTAGGATTACACAAGGAGATTATATTACTAAAATTTTATAGGTAGAATTTTTTTTTTATATCAGTTTATTTCACATTCCACCAAAATTTTGGTAGCCTCCTCTATATCAGGAGATCTCAAGTTATCGACAATTCATCCTGCACACAATTTAGGTTCATTCCATAGTCACCATATATTTATGTGGCATCATAGTCATAACTATTAAAGTCATAACATAGAGTTTTACAACACAAACTAATTGTAATAAACTTGATTAATAACATTAATATTAAAAGCATAAAATAAGAGAGGCCTTAAGTCTCAAGGATTTATATAAGAAAATACTAACATCACTTAAGTCGTAAAATTAATTACAACAACAAACTTCAATATTTGTTACATTCTAAGTTCATACAAAAGAAGTAGAAATGCTAACCCCTAATTCATACAAAGGAATTAAAAACATAAAATTCCTAATTCTTCCAAAAGAATTTGAAGCACTAATTTTCTAACTCGTACAAAATAAGTAAACATCTAGGACTCTACTCCTAGTATGAATAAGTGGGACCTGTAACATCAAAATATAAGAATAATTATATTAAATAAATAAAATACAACAAATTAATAGAGGATCACTACTACACATATCTATGCATACAAGTGCACAACCAATAAGGCATAACATCGTTGATCCGTAAAAGAAAAACACACTTAACTCTTCCTTTACTATATACAGAGCTTATCCTTCCACAACCCACTTATGGTTTTCTCTCAATTATTACACATTAGTTTTTGTTGGATACATCCATTTCATTACTTTGCCCCAACTTTTAAGGAGGTCGCTGTTGACACTAATAACTCCTATTAGTGTCATTAGTTGCCCTTACCCGGACCAACTAATCAAATCTTTAGTAGTGTCGATACCAATTTAATTGGTTGGTACCATTGACTATTTCCAACCCGAAACAATAAATTAATTCCTTTCCATCTCACTTAGAGGTGTTTCTGATAATGCCGATGCCAATTTCTCTTGACATCATTAACTTCCTTTTTAGGAAGCTAATCAAGTTGTTATGGGATTATCGATATCAATATTATCCATTGGTATTATTAACTATTCTTGACAAAAATAGTTAATCAAGTTTAACGTTCATTATAAATCCATCAAAATCATGTTAATGTTAATAATTTTTGCTAACATCATTAACCGTCCTATTAGAGATTGGCTAGTCAAGTCTAAAGGTGGTCGTTTTGGGTTTTTTTTTCTTCAAATAGTTTTTTTTTTAAATTAAGGTCCAAGAGTCTACGACCAAAAATTGGATTTTGTTCCACATCGGTTTCACCATATCTTTCTTTTCTTTAGCCATATTTACAAGTATTGACTCTAATATAAATTTGAATACAAGATTCATTATCAATTAAGGAGAGTATAGGCATGGAACACCCACCTGCCACTGATGCTCGATTTGTGCTTCCTTGTTGTTGTTGTTGTATCTCCCCTATGGTTCCTCCTGAATTAACAAGTATATCACATTCTTTCATGTCTAGTTTCTATTTCGCAAATAGCAAGGCTTTAACAACAATATTTACTCTTTACATTTCAGTGTTTTAAATCATTATGCATATCATCAACTTCATTTTTAAATGTGGTTTGTCCCCTACCGAAGTCAAGATACAATGTTATAAAAATTTTGGTAGGCAGGAAATCGGTTTTATGCCCCTATCACGGCTAAATCCTCTGTTTTAATAATTCTTGTTGAATTCACTAGTAGGGACGATAATTTGACTTTTCCTCATATCTTCATATATATTTGGAGCTCTAGAACTCCAAATTGAACAAGGTCAGATTTATTGGAAAGCTAACATCTCAAGATATAATTTTTACGAGAGGTGTTTCCTAAATTTTGTCATTGTGAGGCCCAAATATCCCTTAGAATATGCATGATGAATCTGCCTAGAATTCATCGATGATTTCTAAGTGAGTTTTCTATGCTATTTATTTTCTATGTATTCCTACATCTTATGATTCTTTCCATGTTGAAATTATGAGCCATACCCATGTTCAATAATTAAAACTTATCTAACTAATAAAATCCATATAACATTAGGATTCCTAAATAATAAAATACTATTTAAATTAAAAGTCCTAAGATAAATAGAAAAAAGAATCCAAATATAACAATGTAAATAAAACAATCCTGCACTATAATTTTCGAGTCTTATTTAAAGGACTTTTCAATTTCCAACTGTCAAGAATTTTTAACTTAGCAGGAAACATCGGTTAACTCGGGTTGACTTAAATTATTTTTTTTCTTTTTTAATTATTATTTTTTAATTTCATCCTTCAATATTAAATTGATTGATAATTGGACTACTGATGTGTTATTAAGTTGAGCTGTTGGGCTAGGTTGGGTTTTGTTAGGGTGTTGTTAACTCAACAATGAATTCTATCCAGGCATAAAATTATACTTTTAATCTTTTTGCCACTCACATTTAAGACGAGGGATGCAACTGCCACTACTGTATAAGATATGAAGATCATGCCTGGTTTTAAAGACTATTAATTGCTGATAATTTTTTGATATGATACTTTTATATTATAGGATTGTAAGTACTAACAATATCAAATTGTGACAACTTTTTTAGGCTCTTATTGCTTAGTATACCTTGCCTAGGATTCTTGCACATAATTGTAGTGGACTATGGTATAAAAATGGAAAATCATTTCTTTGACACCATCTATTTTAAAGAGAAGTTTGCTTCTTCCTAGGCAGGAAAAAAGGAATACATATTTCCATCTTTAAAAATCTAAGTTAAATTGACATGTGCTTAAAAACCCAATTACAAACAGATGGGCCTAGAACTCTGCAAAGATCCAAAGCCTGAAGAAGAGCCCAGCTTAAATAGGCCTCTCAAACATCATAGCAATATACAAGAGCTAAGCCAATATATATATATATATATATATATATATATATATATATATATATTAAACTAGTAAATAATGATATTTAATTTATTACAACAAGACATGTTAAATGTAAAAAAAAATTCAAAAAAAATTTAGAGTTTATATAAGTTTAAATATATAAGTATGCAAAATAATAACAAATGACAATCTTGTTTTTAACACAACTATAATAATATAACACAAGCATGTATACTAAACATATATCCAAAACTTACCATTGTTACTAATTCAAATAAAAATATTTATACTTAAATTAAAATAAAGGAGGATAATTACTTGTCAATGATGAATTATTTATTCATGATAATTTATTATTCATTACTTATGCAACTAGAATGTTTGTAATATATCTTTCACGATTCCAATAACAATATCTTGATTTAGATGCACTTTTAAACAAAAAATTTTAACCAAATAATATGAAATTCATATATTTTTCAATAAGATGAACATAAATTCTAAATTTTGAAGGAAAACCAAAGCTTAAAAACAAAAATAAAACACTAAAATATGAGGTTAAGAAGAGAATGTCAAAATCTAAAAATCCAAGTTAAAAACTCTTTAATCAGTGAAGTTTGGAAGCTAAAAGTTAAAGAATTAATTCTCACTATTTTCAATATTTGGTTAGCCACCATAAACTAAAAATTAAATATAGAAAAACCAAGGGTTATTTGAGATTAATTTCTCATTCACCCATAATTTATTTAAATCATGTCAATGTTCTATATTAAAAAGCATGTGTTGGAGATTAAATTCCAATAAATTTTTAACCCTAAACATAAGTGGATCCTATTTTTAATTTGGTCTCAAATGTGTCTATTAACCATGTTCTTTAAATAATTTTCAACAATCCCCCACATGAATAAAAATTATCTTACTAGTTTTAAAACAACTTGAATATTTGTTGAGAAATATTGATTTGGTAGATCACTATATTAAGATAGATAATTTTTGACTTTGAACCTTCCTTAGTGAAATGCCATTGGATCTACTCAGCCAATAGTACATACGATGTCTTGAACTATTTAATGATTTATGTAAATCAAGACAATAGTACTCACATAGTTGTTTACCCAAATATTTTGTTTAGCTCTCATTGTTGTGTTTATTTTGGTCCCGAACAACTCTTACAAACTTTCTTTTTGGTTATCTATTAACAAGAAACCTCCTAGAATATTCCATGTAACCCTCTTCACCAAGGTCATCATTTAAAAAAATTATTTTAAAATTCATTTGATGTATTTTAAACTTATTGATAACTGCAATGACCATTAATATTCTTATGAAAGTTATTATTAATACAAGTAAATATGTATCAAAATAATCCACACTTTCTTGTTATCTAAATCCTTTTAACAATAAGCTTGACTTTGTAATTATTAATAGTACCATTAACTTTCATCTTACTTTTGAAGATTCATGTATGATTATTTGTAATAAATTCTATTTTACTATTAACCAATTCATTCCAATAAAAAGCTTTCGGATAGAACATTGTCTCATAGTAGATCCAATGTTTATTTTCCAATAAATATGTTAGAAAATCAAGACCAAAGATTTTGGTCAATTTTCTCATTTTACTCCTTCTTGGCTTAACTTCATCATCTTTTTATTGATGATAACTACTCGAGGTAGCCTTAATCATTTTACTAAGTGAATTATTTTCTTATACTTCTTTAAATAAAAACACATATTATCATTCGTATTTAAATGATCCATTAACCATGTTTTTAATTCCAACACAACTAACATTGAACCAACATGTTTGGAGCAATGATCTATGTTATAATCTATGTTAAAAAATAGTATACTTTACTTTCAAATATTTTCTTTGGAATGTGTTTTTTTTTTCAAAATTTGAGCTACCTAGGGGATAAAAAAACCAAAATATCTTTCACTCTAAAGTCCTATGATAGTAACTAGTTTATTTGTTTTTTTGTTGAAGCAAAAACCCCACATCCAAATTTTTTTAACCATGTTTCAATGAATGATATTTCCTCGAAAGAAAGTGCATGTTTACGTTGAATAAAAATTGTTTTAAAATGTGGTTAGTTAGTATTTCAAGATAAAAAAGATTAATATAGAAATAACAAACATGTATGAGATGAAGATAAAGATATAAAATAAATATATCTCAAATTAATATAGAAATAACAAAAGATAAAGATATAAAATAAATATATCTCTAGAATGATTTTAGAGTGAATTTTTATCTTTTTAAAATAAAAAATACAAGATAACATGTTTATTTTATCCCCGTTATCTTTATCTTTTCTATTTTCGAGACAGTTACCAAACATTATCTTAAACATGCTCCCTTGAACAAGACCCCCCTCCAACAACAAACAGAGGTACCAGATGGAGACCTCCATTGTCTACCATGAAGTGATATTAACTGGAAATTACTATTGCCCTTCTTTAAGACTATAAAGCCGTAGTGCTGTAGTTAATCAAAGGAAGAGAATCAGGGCATCAACTTACCACTTGGTACATTCGACGCAACATTTGAGAGAACAAGTATTACAATGGCCAGCACAGCAATCCCACTAGCATGATCGATAGGTGCATGAGGCTCCATCAAACTCCAGAGACTGCTAGGAATTCCTGTTCTATTGAAGCCCTCAACCGTGATAAACATTCCACAAAAGAATACCAGAAGAGAGTATGAAACCTGATCCAAGCAACAGCGGATAAGTAGATTTTTACCCAATCAAATACTGCATGGAAGTATTACAGTTGATGAAAAGATATCTAGGAAAGGAGATAGAATTTTTGCGAAAGACCTGTTGATTTACCTTCTGTAGACAAGGCCCTGCATCTTTGAAATCAAGAATCACAAAAAAGAGGGCTGCTGTGAGTGCAGTCCAAGACATGTCCAAACCCATTAGAAAAGCAACCAGCATCCCAACAGTACCGAGGTAAATACACAACTTCAATGACAATCTCTTCCATCTATTCAGCTTACTTTCTTCAGTGAACTGTTGCGACCCGGACTCTAAATCAGTCATCATCTCCATGGTCCCTTGTGCTCCACCCCTCGCAAATCTTTCCTCCATTTGCTCTTCTTTTTTTTTAGAAAACATATTATCAGTTGCCTCCTTTGAAAGGACTGATTTCTTCAGCTCAATTTCACCACAGGAATCACTGCACATATCCAATTCACTCAACCTGTTTTTAAGATTCTTGGAATGACCTCCATCCCTGTTTATATCAGGGGAACTCTGGGAGCTCGCAGGTTCTGTAATGGGATATTCGTGAGATTCCAAAGATTTGGAAGATGACATGGTAGCAAGCGAAATCTGATGGGCATCTTCTTCCTCCTTAACATCAGATAACAACCTCCAAAACATGCATAAAAGAATTAAAGCATTCACAAAGACACCGAAAAGCACCGCGGGAAGAAGTCCCAATACGAATTCCCCGAAAGAGATGCCACTTTTAATAGCAATTATCAAGTTTTGAGGGTTGCCGATTGGAGTTGCAGAGGATCCAATATTCGAACTCGAAGCCAACCCAAGCAAGAAAGGTTCGGGTCGAATTTTGTTTTGTCTAGCAATCTTTAATATGAACTCAGTGAGAATGACACAGGTGGTGTCATTAGTGAACAGAGCACTTGAAATGGCAGAAACAATGCAGATCCGGCAGAGCATGTCCTTCGCACCCCAACTCTTCCATGAGAACAAGACTCCAAGGTGCTTGAACAGGGGAACTCTGGGAGCTCGCAGGTTCTGTAATGGGATATTCGTGAGATTCCAAAGATTTGGAAGATGACATGGTAGCAAGCGAAATCTGATGGGCATCTTCTTCCTCCTTAACATCAGATAACAACCTCCAAAACATGCATAAAAGAATTAAAGCATTCACAAAGACACCGAAAAGCACCGCGGGAAGAAGTCCCAATACGAATTCCCCGAAAGAGATGCCACTTTTAATAGCAATTATCAAGTTTTGAGGGTTGCCGATTGGAGTTGCAGAGGATCCAATATTCGAACTCGAAGCCAACCCAAGCAAGAAAGGTTCGGGTCGAATTTTGTTTTGTCTAGCAATCTTTAATATGAACTCAGTGAGAATGACACAGGTGGTGTCATTAGTGAACAGAGCACTTGAAATGGCAGAAACAATGCAGATCCGGCAGAGCATGTCCTTCGCACCCCAACTCTTCCATGAGAACAAGACTCCCAAGTCCTTGAACATGTCTGCTCTTTCAAGATAGATGCTTACAACCATGGTTCCAAAGAGAAGGCCCAGTACAGGGAGGTTGATGGCAGAATATGCTTGCTCAGGGGTGATGACTTCGAAGATAACCATAAGCATTGCCCCGAGGATGGAACCTGCTGTCCTTCCAATGGGTAAGAAAGGAACTGCTGGGAAAACTGCCAAAATCCAAAAGACAGCGAAGGCAACTGAACCTAAGACAACCTTCTTAATCGGACCCAGAGCCATTCCTGTAACTTACAGGATTAAGCTTGTTTGTGAGCTACCACTTGGCAGACCTCCACCTTTGCAACTTCAGATAAATTGCTGGCTCTGAAAGAAGAAGATATCACCCTGTAGCTCAACCATTATTTGCAATTAACTGGGAAAACAGTAGAACTAAAAATTATTAAGAGCAAGTGAGATGGAAGTTATTAGAAGTTTTTTTAAAAATTCCAAAAAGGATTGTGGAACCAGAAAGATAAATGAGTTCATATGAATATTTGCATGATACGTTTAAAAGACGCATCAGAATGGGAGGCTAAGAAATGTATTGAAGACGCTGGATATTTTCTCCTCTGAAGCAATCAAAGCAGCCGAAGACATTTCAAAAGCAAGCAAACAATTTCCAAAGTAACCTTTAGCATGACATTTCATGCTGAAAATCTAGTAAATGCGTGGTCCTAGAGCACAGATCTTTTTGCTAGTTGATATGGAATTCGGATCATGCGCAACAAGCGGGAAGTATGCTACCGAGACATCATATAACAACGTTAACAGTTCAGGACTTGTGTGTGCAGGTGAACCTATGGGGTGGGACCGTTTTCAGATATTTTAACATTGTATCTGGAAATTAACAGCATACAAGATAGTAGTGAAGTTGACATATTCTCCAGCTAAGAAATACTGCCTCAAGAGACTCTACATACCTGATCCTTGCATGAACGCACACTCTTGAGCTATCTCTTTTGGAGCAATTATGTAAGCTCACAGTTTGTGATGTTTGAAAATAAATGAGAGTAGGAAAAGGCTACAAACCCTTGGAGGTTCGGAAGTAGGTATAAATAAATAAGATATATTATAGTAATTGAATAAAACTTGATAAATATAAATAGAAAAAAAAAGTAAGAGGGATATGAAAATTGAGGGTGAGTGACGGTAGGAGAGAAGAAAAGGGAAAAAAGAATGAGAGAAAAGAGGGGAAAATAAAGGAAGGAAAAGAAAGTTAGGGGGTGTTTGTTTGTCTGGAAAGTTGTTTTCTGGAAACCACTTATAAATTTTCATGTGTTTATTTGTTACTAGAAAAGTTAGTTGACAAAAAACACTTTTCAGTTAAAGAAAAAATTGGCTTGATTTTCAAGAAAGTGTTTTCCTTTTATTTTAAATGGAAAACACTTTCTAGAAGTTGTGAAAAATTTAGAAATATTATATTATTTTCTGATTCTATCAAATCTGGTACCCAAAAATTTGATTGATATATATTTTGTTTGAATTTTTGTTTCGTCAGTTTCATCGCTTTATAAAAGGAGATATTTGTTATTCATTTAGGCATCTTGGTTCTTAGACCAACATCATGTTTTTTCTTTCTTTGTATTTTTGTAGTGTTTGAGTTTTTTTCATGTTATAGTAGTTTCTTGTTTATGTTTTTTATTTTCTTTACTATTCTTAGTTAACTATATTCTTATCTTGTTTATTTATATTCTTCTTCTTCATTATGTTTAGCTAAGTTTATCATGTCAAGTTGAAAAGGTTTCACTAATGATGTTAGAGTAAGTATAATATAAATTCAATATGAACTTTAATGTTTATATCTAAGAGCACTTGCCATTAACATGTCTTATCTTTTTATCTTACCAATTTGTAATACCTTACTTGTTAAATGATTAATCTATACTTATGTTATATAACACTTGGTACATCAAATGCTTGATTCTTCATAGTCTTTAGCTGACATCGTTGTTATGAGAAGAACTTGATTTGTTGTTAATATAAGTTAGCATCATGAATACCTGACAATATCTATAAGTATGGTGTTACAAAAATAAGATAATTAATATGATCATGTTAATAATTTATAATGCGTTTATACTTTACTTATTTCTAATGCCATTAGTGGATTGTCTAACATTGACAATTGTTTTATTATTGTTTAATCCTTACATCAATATCACATCCCAAAACTCTCTTCAACTTCTTTTCTGTTATTGTTATCTTCAAATCTTTTTCTTTCTCTGTAATTTATATAGTTGATCTATTTATGGATCGACCTCAGTCTTACCGGATTATTTATTATTTTGACACTATTGCACTTAGGATAGGACATCAACTCTTTGATCATGTTAAAGGCCAATAGAGGCTCAATGGACATGAAAGGAGTTTAACATCATGTTTTTAGATAGGTTTCTCCCTTAAAGTACTAGGGATGCTCGACTTTACAAGTTTGAGAGGCTATCTCAAAGGAGCATAATAGTGGATGAGTATGATCTGAAGTTCACTTAAATGTCCAGGTATGCAGAATATCTTCTACCCATTAAGGAGTGGAGGGTGAAGACGTTCATTAGAGGACTCAAATCCTTGATGTATATGGTGATGATGTCATAGGTGTTTCCATCCTACTCCTCAACTATTGATAGCACTAGGTTGATAGAGGCGTATGAATTAAAGGTCATGGCTGCAAGCCAATCTAAGAGGCCTAGAGAAGAGGGTCAATCTTTTAGACAACAAAGATCAACTATAGGTCCATTTAGGGGACGAAATAGATGTTAGGGTGATTAGTATTTAAAAGTGCATTTTTATTAAGGTTTTATATTATCATTTTACACTTGAAGTATCAATAACTCCTTAACTAAAGTATATTTTATAATAACATATCTAATAATATAAGATACCTTTAATTTGTGGTAAATATTCATCTTAAATGCAAGGACAAAAGGATGGCTAAACTTAGAAAAGAGATGTTGATGCAGTTCAAACTAGAACACTATTCAGTAATTGGTTCATATCTGGAGTTGTAGATCTTGAATTTAGGTATACTTTATATAGATGGAAAGGTAAGACATAGACCTACAACTCTTATAGGAGTCCAAATGACCTCTATTTTTTTTTGGAAAAATAAGACAATTTTCTGAACTTTCATTGAGGTCTGGTTCAAATTTTAATGTTATCAATGATGTTTTGAGCAGACAAGAAGATAATAATTGTCACCAAGTCAATAGTTGATCACTTTCTCAATAATTAGTCATCAAATTAATAGTTTCCAATTTTAACCTATAAAAGGAGGCATTTGCCATGCATTTACGCATCTTGGTTTTCAGATAAAGATCATGCTCTTGCTTTATCTCTTTATATTTTTGCAATGCTTAAGTTTTGCTTTCATTAATATCTTGTTTATGCCTTTCATTTTCTTTCCTTTACTTAGTTATCTTTTATCTTATTTATGTTCTTATCTTGTTTGTTTATGTTTCTCTCTTTTATTATGTTTAGTTAAGTTTATTATGTCAAGGTGAAAACG